ACGACCACAATCTCCATTACGCCACTAATCTCCTGTTCACTCATCCCGAGCTGTTGCATAGCTTTCCTTGTGGAGCAAAATTGTACAGCGTCCTTCACACCATCGCGTCGCTTACAGCACATGCTTTGGTTCAGCAGCCGGAAGCTCTTCGGCCCGCCATCCAATGCCAAAAATTTCTTCTGCTCCTTTGTCACATACTTCACGTCTGCACTGAGCAACTCGTAGAAAATATGAAAATTGCGCTCGTGGGGAGCTTGCTTAATAACTCGGATCTTTTCTAGTAAATATGTTCGAATGCGGGCGCCCGCAAGTCTTTGTCGCTCGTCTCGAAAACGCAACTCGATAAATTTACCGAATCGTGAACTGTTGTCGTTTCTCACAGTTCGTGCGTTACCAAAAGCTTCCAATATTGGATTCGACTGAAGCACTTGCTCCTCAATCGATGTGCGAGACGGCGATGTAGGTGGCGAATTCGATTGTAATCCTGTTGAAACACTTAATTTGCTGCTGGCGCCACAAGTGACGGCAAAGTACGTCATAATGATCTTAGTAGCCTCAGTCTTACCTGCACCACTCTCGCCACTGATGAGAATCGACTGACTGCGACCGTTCTGGACGATATCCATGTAAGCCGCTCGAGCCACTGCAAAAAGATGCGGTTCTCTCGTATCTGTAGCCGTGACACGATGACATGGTTGCAAAGTGTGATTAAAAATGTAATTCTGTAATACTTCGTCACCATAAAGATGTAGGAGGTCTTGAAAGGGGTTGATGGATATCAATATATCGCCAATATGTGTATAAATGGCGTGACGCTCGTAGCGCAGCCTCAATGCGTTGAGAATACTGGCTTCGTGCAAGTGTGGGAGCGCCACTAAATCACGCTGGTCCTGCTCACGCGGTATGTTGCGCGGCAGTACATTAATACACTCACCCGAATCCGATAAGACCAGATCCAGACGCTGGTGTCTGGTTTGGGCTTTATCGTTCTCATCGTACGAATCGCAAGGCCCAAAGTGGGATTTTGTTGTCTCTTTTTCGCTTTGTGTCTCTAACTCGACAGTCACGGCCTTCTGATGCACATCAAGTATTCGCGCTGCGAGCCACACCGAATCACTGCCTGGATCAGTGACCCAAACTCGCGCGCCCACGTCCATTTCTACGATTTTAGTATTACTAAGCACTTGCGGTTGAAGTCGAAATTTGAAGTAAATCGGAAGGGAGCACTAGTCACCGTCCGTTACTATCTATAGGTATACAATGGTAGGCTCCGACCAACCTATAGTTGCAAAAGCCTAGTTCTCAATCTGTGTCTTGTCGGGGAGATGCTACAGTGACTGTCGAGCGGGAATTGTGGCTCCATTGCGGCCGCTCTCTGGTAACAAGAGCCTGGTTGCCGTTGGCTTCAAAGAGGATGTGCAAAAATCAGGCGTTTTCTTGCCAATAAAATTTGCGTTAAGCTATCTAAATAGCCAATCGGTACCTGCCTATTCGATCATGAAAGGCCGCTGAAAATTTTTTAGGTCAATACATTCTAACTTCAAGTCAATTTGGTGGTCGGCAAAAAGGCGATCCATTTGTCCCAGCCCTCGGGTGTCCGCTCGTGCCTGTACTGCAACTTGCACTGCAGGTACAACCGAACGAGCGTTCAGGTCGCTCGTGGCACCAGCACTGTCGCTAACAGTCACGTGCTCTCTTACCAAGCAGACCGAAGCTTGCGGAAATGCAGCCTGCAAGTTTTATCTCGCGTCCTTTTGGGGCGTTATGTTACACTTTTGGAAAACGAAACGCATATGCTCAAAATTGTGGTGTTGAAGTGAAAATATTGACTAGAGTGCCTCTTATCGAACAATACTATGATAAATGAAGTAAATACACTGCGGTACTTTCAAAATGGGGCAGCTGGGAAAAGCGTCGGCCGTTACGTTATCAGCTGACTATTCAGCCCGCAAGTGACAAAAAACGTGTTATTATGGCATGTCAACGCGCCAGAAAGCAAGTGCAAAGGATCTGTGCTTGAGCTTAATGCGGTGCTGAACCTCTTGTAACTAACCGACACGGTCACCTTTTATTTACATCTCTCTGCCATGGTACTGCGCCACTGTGTCACTGCGATGGTCAAACCCAATGGAATTAATCAGTAAGCAAATAGCTGTTTGATTCACGAGTTTGCAAAGACATCGTAGGATGTTGTGTGCCGGTGGATGTATCTGCAGTCAGCGTGCTGTGATATACGTTCGTGTGTAGTACTAAGATATAGCATCCGTTATAAACGTTGTGCTGATACGCAGAGCTGGGCGCTGCGCTCACATTCTCTTTGACCCAACCACACGCTCGACTCTATTTCCTTAATTTGAAGTACATCCAGGAACCAAGAACAAAAGCATACACGCATTTGGATGCACGAGATGAGTGCTTCGTCTCTTAGACATACAGCTCGGCTCATATATTGCGCTATTCGACCGCTTCCTCATCAAATTCTGCGCCGCTAATGGCGCAGAGATTTCCATCCATTCTGCAATACCTAGCTAAGAATATGGTGGCAACTCCCGGTGCCTTTTTGTTCGCAATCGGCACGCCGGGCGCAGAATCGGTAAAATGCAGTGTCCTTAAGAGCTGCTCCATCGCGTCTCGCTGGAACTATTTGCAGCCTGAGTGCCACCACTGCCATACTGATGGTAGCTCTGCTGGTGAATGTTTTGATGCTGCTGCTGTTGCTGAGGTGTCTGCTGTTGCTGCTGATGGGACGGAGACTGCTGGTAACTCTGAGGCATCATGTGGCCCCATCCACCGACTGGTTGCCCTCCATAGTTGCCTGCCCAACCGTAGTGCTGATTGTATGAACCAGTCATGGCCGCTGACGCATTGGGCACCGGTGGCGTGACATGATCACGGCCCCCGGCGTTTCCATAGCTCTGCATGTTGGCGTTACCGCGCTGTCCGTGCGACTGCTGAGAAATAGCAACAGATCCTGAGCCTCCCTTGCCGTGGGCTTGCAGACCATTTTGGTGACCGTGGTGACTTAGATGACCACCTTGCTGCTGTATTGACGCCTGCTGCATGTACGCGGTGTTAATCTCACCAAATCCTTGAGGTGAAGCGCCAGCATACTCATGCTGCTGAGCCATCATGTGCTGGTCCTGGTAGGGCATATTTGGCGGATTCGAGAATCCCGGCACTGGACCCTCAACTCCATACGGCATATTGCCGCGCGGGGGGTATTGGGTGCGTGGGCTATACTGAGTAAACTTGATAGCAAAAATACAAGAAAATTAGTCGATTGATCAAATGCTCGCAAGATATCACAAGAAGCATACCTGTGGGTTTTGGTAGTAGCCATATCCTTGGTAGTAACCAGGGTAGTTGTATGGGTTGTATGGAAGTGCCATGCCAGGTGGAGGAGGCGGAGCATAATGGTAACCCTGCTGCATGCCGACCTGGGCTTGTTGATGCATTTGGGCCGCTGGTTGCTGTTGAGCTGGGTTTTGCTGGATCTGCTGGATCTGCTGGATCTGATGAGACTGTTGCTGCTGTACCAGCTTTTGTTGAGTTTGTTGCTGGCCTTGTTGTTGCGGCTGTTGCTGGTGTTGCTGGTGTTGCTGCTGAGATTGTTGTTGCAAAGAAACTTGCTGCATCTGAGGCTGCTGCCCAAGGGATGGAGACTGAACTGCAACTTGAGACACAGCACCGCCACGAACACTGGTGGTCTTCGGAGTTCCTCCAGCAGAAAGCTGACTTGGCGTCGAGTTAGCAGAAGACCGACCGAGATCCATCGAGTATGTACCATATGAAGCTTGATATAAGCCCGTGCCGTAGCCAATGTTCATTTTGTTGGTCTGAGTTGAAGCTCCTCCTTGAGTCTGAAATGAGCTTCCTTGAGCACGCGTAGGGGTATTGCGCTTAACCTCATCGGGCTTGGGAAGAGATGCAGGTGACGGAGCTGAAGGCGCATACCTTGGGGACTGACTTGCAGTTGGCGTCTCCCGGCCTGAGTCTACCGATAGTCCTGGAGGTGCCGACGCTGTAGTTTTCGCGACAGTATTCTCCTGAGAATGCTCTGGCTCATCGCCATGATCTGGAGATAACGATTTTTGTGGAGTAGTGGAAGCTCCCCAACCACTTTGGGTTGTCGTGCTTTTCGTAATAGATTTGACACCCTTGTTTGATGTAGTTGTCGCAGTAGTTTTGGTCGTTGAAGACCAGCTAACTGGCGAAGAAGGCTCGTACGACTCAACGCCGTTAAGCGAAAAGCTTCCAAACTGGAGCGATAGGTTTGGTGTTGCAGCACTGTCCCATTTTCCCATCTTAAGGTATGGACGAGGGCTCGTTGAAGCCGATCCTGTCGAACGAGGCGCCTCAATATCCTTTGGAGAACCTGGCATTACCGTCGGTCTTGTTTCAGCAACCGGAGACTTTGGCGTTGGAGTCACAAGTTTGCTTGCTGGTGGGGAAAGAGTAGGGCTTCCACGCGCCCAAGTGCTTGAAGTTGAGACCTTCGTGGAGTCAGTGGATGCAACCGGTACAGAAGCAGACCACTTGTTCATTGTTGCAGAAGCTGCATCTAGAGCACCCCATCCGGTGGCAATATTCGAGGAAGTAGCTTCCACTGAAGTCTCTACACTTTTAACCTCCTTCTCTAATGACTTTTTAGGCGAAGCTTTCGAGCTGGACACTTTCTCCATGGCATTCAAAGATTCATCGGCAGGTGTTGTTTCTTCGGCGACATTCGAGCTGCTAAATATCTGTGTTTTTTTGTTCGTCTCGTGTTGAGCCTTCTTCTTAGGGCTGGGAGCCTTCTCTGCCGCAACCTTAACAACAGCACCATCAGTTTCGGGAGCAGAAATAATCACTTTTTCAAGAGCTTTTGTCGCCGCTTCAGGTGCAGATGTGGTTGTGGAATTATATTCTACAGGCTTCGACATTATGGTGGCCTTTGAAACGTTCAGCTTTTTCGTCCATGCGCCGGTCAGAACCGGATACACGACAGGAGGTACTTGAGCAGCAGACTGCGTGGTCGCTTTAATAGTCGTTTTATTTCCACGCTCGCTCTTCGAGTATTTGGAAGTTTTTGAGGACTGAGAGTCGTATATGCTGTTAGAAGAGTTCGTGTCGTTTTCTGGGCTTTCTTCTTCATTTTCATCAGTACGAAGTCCACGTGTGCTTCCAGTAGCGACGACAGCACCACCGCGACCACGACCGCCGCGGCCACCCCGTGACAAAACTGAACCGCGTCCTCGTATACCACCACGGCCTCGAGTGGATAAACGCTCCGATGACCTAAGATGCTGTGTGTCTCCAGTTTGCGTCACATCCCCTCGATTCTCATGATGTTGTATCTTCGAGTTAGAGCGTTGGGACGATATGTGTGATTGTTCCTGCAATACAACCCAAAACATACTTAACGTCAGTAGGAAACAAGGCGCCGTTAGTGGTTGTCAAATCAAGAAACGCACGAGCTTCTTTTTCGTGTTCTTCTTTGAGACCGTGGCCCAAACATCCTGATCATTGCCGCGATAGTCCTCCCATAACTCACTGATAACGTTCTCCATGCGCTGCGCGTCGCCCTGGCACTGCCCGATTAATTTTTGAATTAGACTGTCTGGGGTGGCGGGTGGACACAACTCGCGGTATTTGGCCACCTGCTTAGGCAACATATACGGTATTAGCACTACTTAATCTGCAGTGTGAAATATAGCGGTGTCATTACTTCGCGAGAGGCAATTCCGCTAGTAGGGGTGGAGGAAATCTGTTCATCAAGGCGCTGCACTTGCAGACCTTTCTGCAAGAAGTAGTCACGCTTGCTCATGGTTCTGATGTGTTAATGCAGAGGAAAGGGCGGGGGGTCGGCGGGGGAGTTTTCAAAAGAGTGATGGTCTCCTTCCGAGCCAAACAAAATGTAGGATTGTTTTAATTTTGCCCCAAACTTAATTGTCCCAGTCCAGCGGACCCAAAGATCGCCAGAGTTATAAAACCCTACTCAGCCACAAGTTAATAGAGGTTATTCAAAGCGAAACGACTATATTAGACTGTTTCTCGCGCAGATCAATACTAGTGTTAAAGTGAGGTGATATTCCATTTCACTTCGCTCCTCAGGTGGGTGTTTGTCCAAATCTGCTGTTAGCAATGCTACAACTCGCCGCACTCAGTGATTGTTATAGCAAATTTTGGCTTGCTGTTACCCCCAACAGGCACACTTTCCATTTTGCGCAAAAGTAGCAGCGATGCTGGGTCGAGTACTTTCCCGAAAATTACGTGCTTACCATCCAGCCAGTCACACGGAGCACACGTGAGGAAGAATTGACAACCATTTGTACCTGGTCCACTGTTTGCCTTCGGCGGCAACGAGATGTCAATTACTTAATTAGCAATTCTCAAAAGCAATTAAATGCGAGCCCATACCATAGCTAATAAACCTGGCTCTGTGTGTTTGTGAGCGAAGCTCTCATCTTCAAATTTGTCGCCGTAAATGCTAATCCGACCGGTTCCATCGCCCTGCAGCACAATACATTCAAAATAAAAATGCTGTCCAATTATTTTAAAGCACGCTCGGCTGCAAAGTTTACATTAAGAAAGTCGCCACCTTGCACCATAAAGTCCTTTATGACACGGTGGAACGAGCTGCCTTTATAGCCCACTGGCAACTCAGACTTTCTGCAAGATAAAAATGTGTGTTACCAAAACGGTGGTACATCAGTCTTACACCGACCGCAACTTTTCTCAGCCGAACCTGTACTCGCCCGTGCAGAACTGTCTGTTGTCATCACAATATTTTAGTCAAACTGTATCCACAATTACCCGGAATGCTACACACCACACCTAAAATTTTCGACAGTGCGAGGGCAATCCTTTTTAAAGAGCTCCAATCGCAGGCGGCCCATAGGTGCGCCTCCGATTGATATATCAAAAAATACAACTGGATTGCCCCGCCGCAACGCCTCACTTAGCGCCCCGTCCATCGCAGTATTAGCTTTGTAAGAATACGGTATTTATTTCTCAAGCGTACATTAATAAATCAAATTTGCTAAATTATTTAGTTATTTTCTGCTCACAGTTTTGTAGAATTTGATTCTGGCTTCTTAGTTACCGTAAAGGCTTTCTCCGGAGTGAGGCGTACATACCCATTCTCTATGCATTAGTCAACGCGGACTCTTTGAGTCAAAGACTCCTCTGTCCAAGGTGCAAGGTAACTCCTTGCACTTAAAAATACTTATAGTCAATCCAACAACCGAGTCACGGAACGACTGTATTGGACAAGGGTTATCTAATTACCTGCCTTGAGAGCCCCTAGCACCATGTCTATCGTCGGCGCCGAAGGAGTCAAGGGTTGGTGGCCAAAGGGTGGTAAGTGCAATCGCTTACCAGCAGTTCACCAGCTATGAGAAAGCGCTGGTAGGACATTGCAGGAGCGCCCCAACCAAAATTCGTTCGGAGCACAAATGACACTCACTCCTGTAGGGCGATCAGCCCAATGAAGGTAGGGGCGAAATCTTTTTTGCTGATCGAGGGAAGTAAAGGTGGCACATGCTCCAGACGAGCAACAGCGCGCCGCGCTCGCGGTATCTAAGATAGAGGCCGCACATGGGGATGGGTACTTATGTACTATGTGAAAGAAGCATCCTAAAAAAGTAAGGTCTGAAGCGATATAAGTCGCAGGTGCTCGCACCGCCTAATCAGGTGGTTCATGTTCTCGTGTTCCAGCTAAATAAGCAGGTAAACGGATATGCAATCTCTAACCGTCGCAATGGTGACTGCAACGAGGTTGCCTTGCACCGTACACAAAGGATGCTCGGACTCAAAGATTTCGAGACAACTAACGCTAGCGGATAAATCGTTAAGCCTCACCCAAAAGCAAAACCGAGAGCCTTTGAAAAAAATTAAGTATTCAGCTTGCTCAGCTATTTTAGAAGCGTCATATACTTATATCAAGACTATGTTAAAAAAAATACTCACCTTTTTCGTTTTATTGCATTATAAGAGGGTGTTGTTTGCATATAGTCCCTTAAACACAACATACACGCTTGTGCGACGAGGAACGATTCCAAAACGTGGAGAGAGAGGAACATCCAAACTTGGAGGGGAGAAAAATCTCAAAGGTAACTTTGCAACTGAATTAAAAGGAGTCATGGCTCCTAGCTACGTGCAAACACACCAAGGGCTCCTAGAGGCCGTACTGATGGAACCTGGGTTCCAGATTTATGAATTAAGTGTGTACTGAGCTTAAATCTGAAATAGAGCTGATACAAGATCTTGAGTATACGGAGCTTGAACTTCGAAAGCTTGAATTTCAACTTTCGTGGAAAGTATCCAGTAGAAGTGACTGGCTAACGCTACCCACTTCCAAAGACAAAGACACGTCGGTCTCGGCACCAACATAAACCCTCAGTAGAAACCAGCTTTCAGTATCACACAGATGACTTCATATAAGAAATCACGTATGAATTTGTGAGCACCATACTGTAATCTTCTTTTATTAATTCTCACAATTCATACAGAAGGTACATAGAGTATCTTCATGTAATAAATAAGTGTAGCCCATTACGTCATCCCCGCCTCAAAGTCAAAAGTACTTCGATACTTTTGCAGACCTTTCGGAGCAGATCAATTTCCGATCAACAATGAAGCGATCAAGTGAACAAGCCAACATGAGAGAGCATTCTTTGTTTAGACGGCAAGAACAGTTTCACAACACTTCGACGTTTCCTCCATTCTCAAGCAAAATGGATACAAGAGGTTCTACATGGGACGTTTCTTTCTTTGGCATCAAATCAGCGATCGTGATGATCTGAGCCAGCCCATTGCAGCTAAACTTGACTCTTGGCGGACATTTGTTAGCTCTGAGAACATGAACAAGTGGAGCGTCTGCTTCGCCGAGTCGGCGCTAGCAGTACTTCCAGTAACGACGGAGCATAACCGAGCTCTGGTCGTCGTAGTATTCCCTCTAGCAACACTACAAGCGGTTCTCACAGCAGCGGACCGCGTCGGGGACATCAGACTATATGATCTGTCGTGTCCGATTTCGATGGAGAGCCGCGCTACCAAACTTTGCAGAATTGTTAATGGTTTAACTGCTTCTTTCCACAATGACAAGTCGATCGATTTCCGCGATCGACAATTGTCTCAATCACCCAATGACGGACCCCACGAGAGTAATTTAATAGCGGAGGTGACTTAAGCGTGAAAATGATTGAGCAACTCTGGAAGTGGAAGAGCGTTCTTTGCGGGCAAATTAAGGCATTGCGGCAGAGTTGCTCGACGCTTGAATAACGCTGTGAGAGCCTTCCCAGCCTTATTGCAGGGCAGAACTCCAAACTTGACGTTCTGACTGATGGTTCCACCCAATGCTCGCCTTTAAAGTCCCGTTTTAAGCCTCAATTTCAACAGATTCATGATCTACTTGTTCGACTCCGGAAGGACAAGATGTAACGGGGTTACATGTACCCTGGTAACAGGTGTGTGTGTCACACGAGATGGGCATGGTGTCATTGCACCCAAATAAGAATACGGTAGGTGGCTGGGTAGCCAGTAGTTATGCATGTATTTAGATCTTACTATATATATTTAGGAAAATCTAAACATTCAAAATTAGGCGGCTTTGCCGCAGGTAAAACAAATAAATACAGTTTACATTCTAAACAGAAGAGTTTATTAGCTTTGTGTTAAGGTTCAAACTACTCTTGGAAGTAGCGAATTGCGATCCGCTACACTCGTACTGATTCTTGTGAAAAACATAAGGTCGGTGACCAAAATTATGCTTTCTCTATGCGCAAAGCTACGGCAGCCCCGCTGCACTTGGTAGCTCTAGTAGTTAACCTACACCAGAGTCGTTTAGACTGACCCTATGTGAGGGTGGAGGAATTTTCTTCGTAGCCCCAA